CAAAATGTTCGACGTGCATAGTTGCATATTTCGGCATGGTGAGTCCCAGATGGCGAACCACAGGCAACTAATCCTGTGCCTGGTCAGCTTTGCAGTTCTGACCATGCAATGGCGTATGCGGGCGGAACGTGAACGTGGGCGGGGGGGGGATAGGAAGTCTTGTCATCTTATGGGAAATGGGCTGTTCTTTGAGGGGGGGGGAGGGGGGTGGTTTGTGTGTGTGTGCGTGCGTGTGTGTGTCCTCCGTTCATCTTGGAAAGCTGGATCGGCGACCTATGAGGAGAGTTCCATCCTCATGTCGATCGAGTATACTGCGTGCGTGCGTGCGTGCGTGCGTTCAGGACCCTTGAATCGGGGGTTTTTTCTTTTTTACTTGTTCCTGATCAGATGATGTATGTGATAGCAGTGAGTAGTATTTCTGACCAAATCTATAGAAAGGAGACAAGATATATCGTCGTGTCCTGTCCTGTTTTCTCTTCCTCTTCTTCCTCTTCTTCTTCCTTCCCCCTCCATCTCTTCTTCCCCTTCTCATCTTCACTTTCATCTTCCCTTTCCTCTTCACCTGCCAAGCTGGAGTGGACATGCAATCGATCAGAGATGAAGAAGGGGGTATTGAAGAAGGAGACGCCCGACCAACATGTGTATATATGTGTGTGTGTGTGTGTGTGTGTGTGTGTGTGTGAGTGTGTATGTGTGTATCACTGGTGTGCCACGATGAGATGCAGTGTGAGATAGTGATGTTACATCATACATATATACCTGAAGTCAGAAGTGAGGCTTCACTGCAAGGCGCAGAGCTTCATTCCTCTCCTCTCCTCTCCTCTCTACCTGTTCGTACCCTGCCGTCCAAAAAGCAGGCCAGAAATGGTTGTTCTCCCCCCCCCCCTTCTACCCCCTACCCCCCCTCCGTTGACACGTCAGACCTACACTACAACACTACAGCTCTCTTTCCATTGTCTCTCACTCAAGGACTTCCGACATGATACGGAATGACGGACTTCTTGGAGATCACCACCATCATCGCCGTGGGGGGTCCCTGGTCGAGAAAGAGAAGAAGAAAAAATGGAGAAGAAATTATACGGCAAGGTGAGATGAAGAGTGCGAGAGAGATGTATGCACCTGGTACCCCGGAGTTCGTCGCCGCACACGAACCTGACACTGTCCCCACGATAAGCCGCGATAGAGGACGATGTAGATGGCGCGGCAGAGTCCTCATCTGACGGCAGGGTAGACGATATCGGCTTCAGTCAAACGTACCGAGCAACTGCCCGTCATTCGCATATGTTCGTTGAAGGGGGAGAGACGCACTGCAGTTGATCAGTTGATGAGGAGCGGAACAGTAGCCGACGACGCCCAGCTTATCTTCTTGTGTTCTACAGACCTGATGATATATCACTACGATATATATATTCTCGTAAAGTTCGGACATGGGATATCGGACTATCTAACCACTCTCTTCTGCATCTTCCATCTTCCATCTCTATCAACGAAACAAAGAAAATTTGAAAACAATCAAGAGAGTGAGAAGATCTATCGTATTGCGTTCCCCCCCTCTCCCCTGTCGTACTACTTCCGCATTGACGCCTACGACGGCCCAACCTCACCCCCCCCCCCCCCCCCCCCCATCGCAACATCCAATTTACTTCATCGGTGTAAGCCGGAATTTTTTATTTTTTTTTCGTTTCGTGTTTGTTCTGTTATCAAGCCTCTTTCCTATATTGGGTGAGAGGAGAGACAATGACAGAGAAAACTTATATAAACCCAGGCATGCACATACACACACATGCACATACACCACAACACCCCCCTCCCCCCTTGTCTCGTTGTTCCTACATTATTACCTATTACCTGCTACCCACAAAAAAGAGGAGCTGGACAGAGGACTCATCATGTCGACAGTTCAGTCCATCATGACCTCGAAACAGCCCAAGATTTCTCCTCCTCCTCCTCCTCCTCCTCCTCCTCCTTCCCCGTATCCCCTTGGCAATAGCCGTCGGGGTGGGGAAGGACGAGGACGAGGACGACCCCCGACCATATGCCAGGAGCCCAATACAGCCCAGCCAAGTCATCACCAGGGCATGGGCCCCCAGCATCAGCACCGGCATGAGGAGCACCGGCATGAGGAGCACCGGCATGAGATGTATCAGCCCGGAGAGGAGGAGGAGGAGCAGAGGAGGAATCTTACCCGTCAAGTCAACAGGTCCCTGTATCAGGCTACCGTCGAGGATGACGACGACCACCGTGGCCAGCATGTTGGCAGTGGAGACTTCGACAGCAGACGTGCCCAGGACCAGGACCAGGACCACATCTGCTCTGACAGCCATCAGGGGTCACCACCAGACAGCAGCAAAAGTAGCGGAAGCATCAGGAGCACCGGCCATAAAGGGTCGAGAGTCTCCCGCACAAGGATCGGGACAGATCCATCATCCACCATAGACAGCAATAGCAGCAGCAGCAGCAGAAGCAGCAGCAGCAGCATCAGAAGCAGCTATAGTAGTAGCAACAGCGAGAACGAGAGACAACTTACCCTCCCGGCCAAATACAATACTCCACCTCCGAAGAACAGCAGTCCGCCGTCATCGCCCTCTTCATCTCCATCAGGAACCTTCTTCTCGCCTTCTGCCTCATCCCAGGCTTCTCGTGTTGAACGTTTGACCAGTGACCTTTCAAACCTACAACAACAAAAACTACAACTACAAAAACAACAGCAACAACAGCAACAACAGCAACAACAGCAACAACAGCAACAACAGCAACAACAACGCCAACAGCATCAGCCACAGCAGCAGCCACAGCAGCAGCAGCAGCAGCAGAAACCTCGTGTCCGCTTCTCCAACCGTCCCCTGCCCAGGACTGGCAGCCACAGCCATCAACAGTCTCCCGTTTCATCTCCCACCCCAGCGCAGGCGCAGGTAGTGGATGACGAGATGGCTCCCAAGCAGACTAGCACCACCACCACCACCACCACCACCACCCAGGACCTTGCTATGCAGCCCCAGAGGACGCGTGAGTTGACCCCCGTCGATCTCAGATGGGGGAGCCTATTCGATGGCCAGGGCCGGCCCACCGAGCGACTTCGCAATGTATACCGTGGAGTCGGCGCCTTCGTCGTAAGTCGACAATGTCTCACCCCTGTATGGATTGGAGAGAGGGAGGGAGGCAGGGAGAGAGGGAGAGAGAGAGATGCATGAGAAATCTGACAAGAAAAAAAAATCTGTTACAGATGAAAGACATCAATCCCAATGCTAGCGTCATAACCCCCGCCATGATGAAGGTGTTTTACACCCGATTCGACTGCCGTTCCCAAGGGGACGAAGAGCTCATCCCTCATCTTGGTAAGTCGTCGTCGTCCTCCTTCTTCACCTCTGTTGTTCTTTCTGGTCTCTGTTCTCGCCCATCCTCTCTACGAGTGGTTTTCTTTCCTTTCTTTTTTTTTTTTTCGTGAGCGCTGACCATTCATGACCTACCAGACATCTTCGGAAACGTTGACCCTTCCATGCTCCAGCTCATGTACCAAGGTCTGGGGTGCGACTACCACCTCGTGCCCCTCCAGGGTATGCGCACCCCCATCATTCCCGCCCTGACAGTCACTGGCTTCGCCCAGTGGATGGAGCAGTTCGCCCTCGCCTGTCCCGGGAGCGAATCGCGCCGTCTGGCTCGCGTGGTCGAGGCGCTCCCCATCGACTGCTGCTACACGTCTGCCGCTCCCGGTGAGCAGTCCAAGACGGTGACCGAGAGGCTTCCCAAGCAGCTGTCGCGCCACCTCTTCCCCCCAAGGCACAACGCCGCCGTGAAGGAGGACATCGCCGACGTGTACCGAGATGCCCTGGTCCTCAACGACGACGATCCCAGGCACACGCCCAGACGCCGCCCACGTATCGTCATGGTCGACCAGGACCCGCCGCCACCGCTCAGACAGCTGCCGCCGTCTCCCACGAGGCGCAGCACCTACTCGGTCATCTCCGAGCCTTTGCTGCCGCCGCGGCAGGCCCTCTCGCCTCCCTGCGATGACAGGGTGGTGCGCAGGAGAGACGGTCTCGAGTACGAGCCGGCGAGAGTATACGTTAAGAGGAGTGACGACCGTGACCGCGAAAGTGAACTTGACCGTGATCGCCGTCGGATGATCACGCCCCCGCACGAAGCCGAGCTGGAGCGCAGACTGACGCGCCGCTGGACCTCGGCCCCGAGGGACGACGAGGAGAGGAGGGTGACGCGTCGCCAGACGGCGCCCCCCGTCGACGTGGAGGAGGAGCGCAGGCTGGACCGCCGCTCGAGCAGGAAGGACCCCGCCCCAGACCGTCACCACCACCACCACCACCGCCATCACCGCAAGCAGGAGAGGTCCCCATCCCCCCCACCTGAGAAGCGTAAGCGCCACAGAACCTTCTCCGACAGTCTCCGGTCCTTGGACCTCCTGACCGGCATGTCGGGCATGCAGAGCACCGTCGGTTGGGGCACCGCCGGCGGGAGCCGCACCCACCGCCACTCCCGCGACAAGGAAAAGGAGTCCCGCGTCAAGGAGAGGGACCACCGTGGGAAGGTCAGAGAATACCGTGGCAAGCAGAACGAGTATTACCATCACAGCCGTCCCAAGTCGAAGACGTTTCCCGCCTCTGTCGTGTCGATACCTGCGAGGCATGTTGGCGTCTGCGAGCCTGGCACGGATGAGGAGTGGCTTCGTGAGAACGGCTATACCGTGTGATGTCGATTTGTATCGTGCGTGCGTCTGTCTTTCCTGTTTCTTTTGTTATGTCTTCTTCTCTCTTCTTTTTTCTCACCTCATGTCTTGATTCTTTCCTCTGATCAATTCTCGCTTTTTTTTTCCTTCTTCTGTCTTTCATATGTCGCATGATTCGGATGAGTGTCCGGTTGGGGATGGAAACCTCTATATGTAACGGGATCAGGATCGGGATCGGGATCGGAATCGGGATGAGCATTTCATGGTGTAACAGGACTGGGCAGAGAGTTTCGTCTCGGAGATATATGGCGCAACAGGAGTAGGACGGATTACCCAAAATATGTCAGGGCAACTAAGAAATAAGCCGGAGCACATCTGGGCAGATACAATGTATAAAACAAATAGCAGAAATGTAACAAGTGTTTTTTTTTTTAGGTTCATGATGTCGTATTATGCCATGTGATGTTGTTTTGAGATTATAGGAAAAAGATATGAGAAAAAAATAAGAACAGGATGAGGGTCATAAGTCATTAGACATTTATGGAAAATCTGGTAATCCATATGGAGATACCAGCATGAAATGAGAAGATAGAGGAACGAAGAGGGGGTGATGGGGGGGGGGGGGGGGGGGGGGGGGGAGAGGACGAGGAGAAAAGGGAGGATGGAGGGATGGAAGATGACGTAAGGAAGAAGAAGGAAAGGCCATCGGTAGAGAGCAGGCCACGCTGTGGTATCGATAATGACAAGAAAGATATAGAAGACGGCTCGAACGGGGGTATCATCGGGAAGGTGAGGCGTTATAGTCAGTCATCTGCGAGAAACTGCTGGTGTTGGAATGGTAAGCCGAGGGCCCTGAAGCGCCGGCACTGCCACTGCCGACGCTCCCGTTGCGGCTGGTGCGCTTCTTCTTGAGGGCCTTGTAGTCCTCCTTGAAGACGGTGATGCAGCGCTGGATGTCGGGGTCCGGATGGGGTGGCATCTGGACCTCGACGGCCTTGAGACATATGCGGAGATGGAGAAGCTCGTCGTCGTTATCGCGAAGCTCCTGTTCTCTGTATCTCTGTCAGTCTGTGGCATCCGCCCGATCAGGCCTCGAGGCGACATACAGATACGATATGCGGTCTTGGAGAAACTTGATGCGCTGAGCGGCCGTCTCGGCACGCTGGATCAGCAGGGTGTGGATGTGCTGGTCGACAGTTGATCAGAATACAAGGCTGCGTGGGCACCTGGACGGAAGAGGGGGGGAGGGCAGTATTACCATGGACTCTTCCTGACGAGCTTCGAGGTTGCCCACCAGGACGGCGAGGTCGTTGTTGAGCTTCGTCAACTCGGCGATGACCTTGGCGGATGATGCCGGTCTCCGGGATGCATGGTTGTGAGCGCACGTGGTGGTGGTACTGACAGTGTCATCCGGGGGCGGCCTGTTCTCGAGAAGATGGGAGAAGCGTGAGCGCACGACGGTGTCGCCGAGGAGGGTGCCACCCTGGTCGCTCTGGCTGCGGGGCACGAGAGCTCTCGGTGTTGCGCGGAGGGGAGGAACAGCAGGCTCGGCAGGCCTAGCCGCCCTGACGCTGGTGCGGGTAGAGGGGAAGCCCGCCACGGTCTTTTCCAGCTTCTCGATCTGACTCGTCAGGGCGTCTTCGTCGACATTGCTGCTCGTGAGGTGGCGGGAGAGGCGGTCGAGACGCTGGGAGAGGGTGAGGCTGGCCGGGGAGGGTGGGAGTCGACGGTCGTCGTCGTCGTCGTCCATGGCAGGAGGGGAGAGTGCACGCTGAAATGGGTGTGGTTCTGGTTGGCTTCACCGATCCGGGTTGTCGTGGCGTCGGCCACTCATGAGATTAGGAGGTTGGGTTGAGATTGGGATGAAGCTATTGAGTATGGCCGGAGGGGGGGGAGGGAGGAAGAGGAAGGGGCCTCACCCTGACTGATTCCGGTGATGGTACTGATGAGACGAGTCGACTCTGTGAGCATAAATACAGACGTTACAAGGATGCAGCCTTAGTGAAGAATATGGTCATGTTAGATGTGCATCGATTCAACCCGAGTTATCAAAGCAACGTTCCTGAGACCGAGGCCGTTTTTTTTTTTCCCCCTTAGCTACTGAAGATTAAACGGCGGCAGGAAGCAGACGCCCCACTCTGATGACAGTATGCAGAAGCTGCACGTGATCTGTCGGAGAAGACAAGGAGAGGCTTGATCTGCATGAGTGAGGCCTCGTACGAGCTCGAGTGTACATATAGTTTACATGTATAAAGGCATGGGATGACGGTGATGCTTCGATCGGAAAGTAAACAGATAAGAAGTATAAGCATCTAAACTAGTCATTACTAGTCACCATCTGTCGCGCGAGAGCTTTCCCAGTAACAGTGATAGCATAATGGGGCTACCATCGGTTCAATGACGGGTACCGAGCCATCAACTCGGTCGGCTATGATGTCAACCTTGAGAAGCAGAGTCACCCCACAGAATGGACATCAAGGCTACGTACATGTACATGTACTCGTAGTATAGATTACAGTAATGTCACTACATTACTAAATGATGGGAAAATACATGTACGGAGTAGAGCAGGTTATGCTGCTAGTGCGCGATACAGTAAACAGAATTGCAAGCGGCCATGTGACTGAGCTCGGGGGAACGGAGAGGGCCCTTCTCCCTCACTCAGTGATGATCATACAACATACGGAGTATTACAACCCTTGGGTGATACCCCCGAATCAAGCTATAGCCTACTGCAGCAATACCGATGGACGACGGCAAGCTCTAGCCATCTCCAGTGGTCCGGTGCACGTCAACTCCTTCTACAGACCTTTTCCCCAGCCTGATCATCATTCACTGTTGAAAAAAAATTAATAGTGATAATAGTAATAAATAAATAATATTCGTATAATAAAAAAAAGGGAAAGAAATGTACCGGCGGCGCATGTCATTCGTCTCTACACATCCGGATCTCCTCTCCCCCCCCCNCTTTCTTTGTCTTGACACCCTGGGTTACCCTGATTGGCATCACATCCCCCCTCCCCCCCCCCCCCCCCCCCCCCCCACCGACTCCAAAGATTCTCCTCCCCCACACCAAAACTGCCCACCTTTTTTTTTCCCTTTTCCTTCCTTCCACTCTCCCTCTTCTCCTTCTATTTCCCCTCTCTGTTTATTGCAATCAATTGTCTTGTATAGTTTTCAATCTTATTCGATTTCTGTTCCATCTCTTCTTCTCCTTCTCTTTCGTTTTCCCCCCTTTCTCCAGCTTCTGCACTCGGTGTCCCGCGTGATTCCAGAGCCCAGTTCTTCACAGCCCAGAAGTGTGTCCCGCCCACCCGGCCACAACTTCCCTGCCTCGGCTGCTTGTGGCTTGCGCTGCGTGCGTGTGACTCCGTGGGGCCGAAATCGCTTTCCTCCGCCCCGTTTGCCGACTCATTTACCTTCCATCCGTTTTCTTTCCTCCTTCTCTCCTCGGAGACCCAAACTGTTCATCTCACCCGACAGAGGAGAAGACAGTACCTCCTCTTATACAATTACCGAGGTGGATAACCAGGCTGACACAGCAATCCATCGTCCCGGGCCGGTGCCCATCTCAATGCCCGCCCGTCCTATACCCTCCTCCGCTTAGGATCGGACCTTGACCAGCAAATACGACAAACTACAGCCCCCCATCATGTCCTGGAAAGCGTCGGAACGTCTGATGGACACAATCAGGCACTATGCCAGATTCCCTGCCACCGGAGTCAGTCTACGCCAGATGGTCCAGTTTGGCGAGAAGCCCTCTGTCGGTGCGTCGTCGCTCTCCCTCTCCCCCTCTCTCTATCTCCGCCCGCCACGTGTTGCGCCCATCCTCTCTGACAGCCTCAACAGGAACACTCTTTCGCGCCTCACAATTTCTCGCCGAGGAACTCCCCATACGCTTAGCGCATCGTGTACAGGAGCTCGACGAACTGCCTGATGGTCTCAACGAGATGCCCTCGGTCAACCGGGTCAAGGAGTGGTACGCCCAGTCATTCGAGGTACGATCTGTCTGACCGCCAGAGATCAGGGAAGGGGGGGGGAGGGAAGAGAAAGAAAGCAAAAAGGCGAAGGGGAAGTAAGCTGACAGGATCTCGCTTTGACTTGTCAGGAAATCACCACACTACCGCGACCACACCTCCCCAACGACGTGCGATCAAGACTGACCCGACCGGCCAAGCACCACGGGCGTCGGGCGCTAAAGCAGCTATCGGAAGCGACGCCCAATCCCTCCATCGAGGAGGGCGACAGGTCGGGCTGGGGCGGCATATACGCCGAGAGCGGAAGCGGCAACGGCGTCCTCAGCAGCCTAAATGGCAACAACGGCCACAACGGCCACAACGGCAACGGTCACGGTCACGGTCACGGCCACGGCCACGGTCACGGCCACAACGGCAACAAGCACCGGGCGGTAGCGGCAAGACGGTACTTTGCCATGGTGGACGACACGGCGGACTGGCCGCCGGAGCTGCACCTGTACAATCAGCGGTTCGCGCAGACGCTGCACAAGATCAAGCGTCGGCACGATGGCGTGGTGACGACCATGGCGCAGGGCATCCTCGAGTACAAGCGGCTCCGGCAGCGCATGCAGATCGACGACTCGATCCAGTCCTTCCTGGACCGGTTCTACATGTCGCGCATCGGCATCCGCATGCTCATCGGCCAGCACATCGCGCTGACGGACCAGAGCCACCACCGCGACCCCACCTACGTCGGCGTCATCTGCACCCGCACCAACGTTCAGGACCTGGCCCAGGAAGCCATCGAGAACGCCCGGTTCGTCTGCGAGGACCACTACGGCCTCTTCGAGGCGCCCCGCATCCAGCTCGTCTGCAACCCCGACCTCAACTTCATGTACGTCCCCGGTCACCTGTCGCACATGCTCTTCGAGACGCTCAAGAACTCGCTCCGCGCCGTCGTCGAGCGTCACGGCATGGACAGGGACGAGTTCCCCGTCACAAAGGTCATCGTCGCAGAGGGGAAGGAGGACATCACCATCAAGATCTCTGACGAGGGCGGCGGCATCCCCCGCTCCTCCATCCCCCTGGTCTGGACCTACATGTACACCACCGTCGACGCCACACCCAATCTCGACCCGGACTTTGACAAGAACGACTTCAAGGCTCCCATGGCTGGCTTCGGCTACGGTCTGCCCATCTCGAGACTGTATGCTCGTTACTTTGGTGGGGATCTTAAGTTGATTTCTATGGAGGGGTAGGTTTCTTTCTGGTTTTTTTTTTCTTTCCTTTTGTTTCTTTTTTTTTCTTTTTTTTTCTTTTTTTTCCCTTCCTTTTCTCCCCCTCCCCTCTCTTCTCTTCGCCTTCCTATATACATACACAGATTAGGACACAATATGGCTGACCATTCAATATGCAACAGCTACGGAACAGACGTCTACCTACACCTCAACCGACTATCGTCATCATCCGAACCTCTCCAATAGCAATTACACACCGCCGGGCCGTCTTCCTTCCCACTTGTTCTGCGCAAACGCCTCAAGGATCGAGAGGTGACGGAGCGGAGACAGGTGGGTGACGTCCTGGCGGTGGTAGACAAGCCCCGCCAATTTCAAGATGATACGGAGCTGTGATGTTTTTTTCCTTGATATCCTCTTGAGATTTGGGAATCTCACCATATGATTGCATTCTCTCTGGCATCAATCGAAAAGGTCTTTTCTTCTTCTTCTGTCCTTCTTCTTCTTTTCTCTCTCTCTCTCTCTCTCGACAGAGAATCTTCCATCGCACGCTCACTGCATGAAAATATGCACATATTACACGACATGGTTTATTTTATTATACCACACACACATACACACACACACACACACACAAACACACACATACAAATACATCCACGATCGAAAAAAATGGAGCTTCATGAAAATATACATGAACCCATTTTTTGGTCTATAGAAAAAATATCGCCATGGGGAAAACAAAACAAACCAAAAATTTCTTGGACTGGTTCCCCCCAAAAGGGAACGTAGGATATTTGGAGACGGAAAGGAAACAGAAAAGAAAATGCCGGCAAAAAAAATCCAACTTGTATAATATGGTTCACTGGTCATTGAATATCCTGGGCTGCACTGCTAGCTCTCATTATTCTTTTTTTTTACTCCAATTTTTTTTTCAATTCTTCGTTTCTTATTCTTTGGTGGTTTTTTTTCATGTTCAACTTGTGGGGTGTTGCCATTAAATACAATTGTGTATTCTTGCCATGGGTAGCATACGCGGAAACAGGACTTGCAAATAAGAATGGGACACACGCCAAGGTATTACCTCTTTCTGTTTATATAGCCATCTGTGCATATCTTGTCCTTCTCTAGCAGACCGTGTATCCATATTCTTTTCCCTCCCCCTTTCTTTCATTCTCTCTCTCTCTTCACGTCTGTTCTTTCTTTCTTTGTGACAAAAGACTCCTCTCGACTCCCCCAGTTTCCAAGTGTAAGGTACCCGACCCAACAAGAAACGCCTACTTACTCAGATTCGTCCGAGGCGCAGAACCCAAGGGGCCTCTGACCGGTGGTGGCACCATGATCCTCCTCCTCGATGACCCTCTTGAATGTCAGGTTGGGCACGGACCAGCTATCCAGCTGTCTGGTCGGACGAGATTCACGAGGGGTCTAGGATTTGTCAGATCTTAAGAGAGAGGTGAGGAGAGACGGGTAGACAGGGACAGACATGGAGAAAAGGAAGAGAACTGGACAGGAGAAGACAGCCTACCTTTAGTGGCCAAGTGCCGGTCCGACCATTACCGGCAGCCACAGCATCCTCCGGGGAAAAGGGGAGGCTACCAGGCCTGTTGGACACGGCAACGGCACTCGCCTCTAGCGGTGCGGCAACGGTCATGGCCTTGGCCTTGGCACGGACCCTGTCGGCCTGGTCGTCTGGACCGTAGGCGTTGAACCACTGCTTCTTCCTCACCACCTCCTTGGGCTCCCCGTCCTGATGGGTGCTCTCACTATCCCTGGACAGCCCCTCACTCCTCCTCTTCTTCTTCTCCTCCTCCTTAGGACGGAGGTGAGGTGGAAGGGAGGTCAGAGCGGCGGCCGTGGCGGTCTCGACGTCGGACGGCTGGGTGGAGGCTATACGTCTTGCTCTCCTCTGCAGATGGGCTGGCAGGCTAGCGATGGCCGTCTCCGAGGCAGTTTCGGTGGCTGCCTTGGAGTGGGTGTCGTCCTTGGCGAGAGCGGAACTGCTGCTCTTCCGAGCTTCTTCGGCCTGGTACCTGGGGTCAGTAATACTGGTAGATGATAAAGTGAGGGGGGGGATTCAGAAGGAGGGGGGCCGGGAACCTCTTGATAGTGATAAGTATGCTCTTCGAAATCCTCGGCTGTGCGAAACTCGTCACCCCAATAGTTATGGGCAAACTCTTCGACGGAGACGTGGCCTGTCTCGAGGGGGGCGGGGATGACTCCTGGTTCTTGGGTCTCGGTCCAGGCGACGCATCGTTTGCAGGACTGTCTCTCTATCAGTTTACCTGTACTCTGAAGATTGAGAAAGGCAGAAAGTAATAGAGAGAGGGGAGGGGGACTCACAGATTCCTGACACTTTCTAGCTCGCTTGCTGAATTCGTTCAGTGGCTTGCGTACGCCACATAGGATGCACTTGATCGTGTTGGATGGCATGGCTATCTCTGACGGGCTGTGAAGCTATCGCATGGACAGAAATGAGAACTGGTGACTGGATATCTGGACCGTGAGAGGAAGAGCAGGAAATAAAGGATATACGGTGCATGTCCCGAGGATACCTCTATCGTGATGGTAGGTTTGAGAAGTCATTCAGATATAATCGTACTAGCATACATGGAAATATGAGCAAACGAGAGAGAAAGTCTATCAGCTATTGACCTTTTGTTCTACCTAACAATCAAGGCAATATCAAGGCTTCCATTACTATGGTCTTTAATGAAAACTCACACCTTGTCATGGTACTGGGTACGACAATCAGGAAAAAGGGATGGTGGCTGCCTGACGGGAAGGTGCAGCTGTCTGCCATTCTTCCTTCCCTGGGAGAGTAGAAGGTGCGGGCTGCCCCAGCTGGCACGTTACTCAGCAAACAGCAGTTAGTCACGGGAAACGATGGAATGACTGAAGTGATCCGATATGAGAGGCATGGGGAGATTTCGGCAGCGACGCAAGTACGGTATTAGGGTTTTTAGAGAGGTCAAGCTCGTGCTAGGATCGGTGGATTCATTCCGATATTCAATCCAATACCCCAGCACAAGCACAGCTTGGTAACATCGGACTCTCGATCTGAGAAAGAGCCGTTCGTTCGTAAGTCTTATAGTGGCCCAGGTACTATAGCCTGATATTCAGAGAGACAGCGTTCGCTTCAGCTCTGTCATGGTAAGCGCTGTTCTTGAGAACTTCACCATCTCCCCCCCTCCCTCAACCACAACAGCAACGACAGACTTTAATCTCGGCTCACAGCAGACGTCTTCTTTTTTTTTTCCGTTTCCTGTCTGTGGCTGCAGGGTTGGGAAGGCAACCCAGTTTTTACCGAGCAGAGTCACAGCATACGAGCAAAAGACACGAGTTGTCGCCGTTGGGACACGAACTGACGACGTACGACATACAGACAAGATGTGCATATACGAAAGCATATACTCAGTCATATCAGACACACGCACACATCGAGTGATAATAAAAGGCGACTGACAAACTGGAAGAGAAAAAGAAAAGGAAAGACTCTGTCGTATGACTGGTAGTACGACTTGTGCATCATGTACGGTCGACTACATGATGTACCAGCCATGGCCTCCGCAATGATGCACCGTACTACTGTACGTTCCAACCTACGACGTATGCAATAGCTAGCATCACTATGGCAGTATTTTTTTCTGTCTCCATCACGCATCGGTGAGCTCATTCGTCAGAGGGTTTAGATGAACCTTTTTTTTTTACCTTTGCGTAGTTCTGCGTGAAATATTTTGGTTGTTGGGCATCAATATAATGTCTGTCTCTTCTCTCCATCGATTGAAGCCCTCACCATGATTCACCGCCAGAGATGACATGTCTCCCCCACCCCCTCTCCCACTCCATCGCACAGGAATAAAAGTAGGGGCACATTCACAATCAGGTGCTAGTAGTCAGCTGCTGATGCAATTCTCGGTAAAGGATCTCTTTTTTTTTTTCCCTCTTTTTTCTTCTTCCTCCTCAACCCCTGCATAGACTCATGTAGATATCATCACTATGGCTATCGTTGACTCACTAGTAACGCCTGGTGATCCCTTCACTAGTTAGTATTGCGTCCGACACATCTCCGTCTAGTCCGGTCCAGTCTCCCCCCCTCTTTTCTTGCCCTGATATCCGAATTATACCACCTGATGAATAGATCATCCCCGGCTACTGTTGCTCAGGCCGTTTCTAACATTCTCTTCTTCTTTGTTCTTGCCTTCCCTGTTTCGTTGCCTTTTCCTTTTGTTTTTTTTGTAGTGTCCGTTGTAGGGTACATAAGAACAGACGGGTCGTGTCAAAACTCCACGCAAGGATTACATACATATGTACTTCGATGTTAATAATAGGCGGCAGACAGAACAGCAAAACAATCAAGCATACGGCCTGGCCGAAAGGAGCAATGAACCATTTCCCCGTTATACTCGTAGGTGCAGATCAAGACCGAAAAGAAACGCGAGCCATCGTTTTTTTCTTACTATCTTAGTAGGATGCATTGCCGCTACGACGCTTTGGTACGTTGGGTACCACGATGCACACCCATCTAGTTGGTGTAGTTGGTGGGGGGCGGCCAAGGCGATTAGGGGCCGCGACGCCCGCTTCGGTGCGTCCCGTTTCTCTGCTTTGGAACGAAAAATAAAGGGAAAAAGAGGGGGGCTTGCTATGCTGACATTCCATGATTCTGTGGTCAAAGGATCTGTCATAACAAAGAGGACATCAACATCAACACTTTCTCTGCTCTGCCCAGCTCTGCCCAGCTCTGCCCAGCTCCGCCCAGCTCTGCTTTGCTCTCGCTTTGCCTCGGGGTGAGCCCCTCCCGAGCACGTGACTTGGATATTAATTCGTGCTCGGACCACACGGAGATGCGGCGCCTGTTTGATGTACAGACACACACAGTCTCTTACAGCTTCCATCTCGTCTTCTAGACTTTTTTTTTTTGTGGGAAAAGCAGACTGTACGGGAGTATTATCACTACATATATATGTAACCTGGAGGTACGGCCGAGGTTATTCGAGTATCGTACCCGTACATATGCGCGGCATAATCCCGTGAAACTGACTGGGGATTTCTCTCCTTTCTCCTCTTCTCGATGCGTCATCAAGACTGGACCGTACGGAGCTTGGCCCAAACGCCTAGCAAGTTACGCGGTTATAGCATGATCCGGGAAAGGGGACCGGGGTTTCTACTTGGAAACGAGACGAGACGAGACCACAGGAAGAACAGGCAGAGAGTAAGCCGTAGACACATCTTGTATAGCTCTTCTTTCTCTTCCCACCCTGTGACTGCTGTCTCATGCCGCGAGCGAGAGCCTTGACAAGCACGAGGCTGAGTATCCAGTCCTACAAGTAATACTCGTATGAATACTGAAGTTTCAAGTTCAGAGCCCATTGCCTTGGCAAGGTTATGCCTACTCGGCCTGCTCGTACATATTTCTATGTAATACTCCGTACAATATGTACGGCACAAGTACAGATTACGACCAATAAAGATTGGAAGGGGAGGGGGTCTTGCTCAATGCTCGGAGCCCTCTCACCGTAATACACAATATACGCCACCTTGACCGGTAGCAGGGCACCGTGGACGTGGGACTGCCCTTGTTCCAATATTGCCACCAATGTTTCCTGTGATGGGAGAGAGAGGCATGTTCCGTCTTTCTTCTTCTTAATATTTGATTTATTTATAATGTATGTTAAATCCTGGACCCCATGGTATTATATATTGCTACTACACACACGACTTACGTAGACGTTCTCACTCGGCGAGTATGCCACCATGGTTAGATGCCTCCGTGATGGGTGGGAAGCACGTGTTTGCGGCAATAATCAATAATCGTGGCAAGCATCTACATATATACCCTCGTCTCCCCCCCCCCCCCCCCCCCCCCCCCCCCTCTTCCCTGACTGCCCCTCCATTCATGCAAGGGTCAGAAATACACGACAGAGTGGTGCACGGTATTAATCACTGTCGCAAGTATATGTACGAATACAGGTACACTCCTCGCGTTGGTTCCCCAGAAAATGCCAACCCAGAGGAATATTTGGACCCTTGTATACCAGAGAGAGAGAGAGAGAGAGAGAGCACATATTATTACTCGTACATGTACGGGGTAATCTGTACAGCCTACGGAGAACAGGTATTAATAGCTAATAATACGGGTAATATGTTCAAATTACCATCATCACGGAAAAATCTCTCTCTTCCATGGGCCATTGCTCATTATTTACCTATTTTCAGAGATAATCAACGTAATTAATCATATATCTGATCTCGACTGTCACATCACTAGACTCAGTTGCTCGCAACGAGTAACAGGCGCCATTCTGCTACTGGACCATGCACTACATGCACTACACGTTCAATTCTCTTCTGTTCCCTTCGCAGCGAGCCCCAAACTACGAGTAGGAGCAGAGCAAAGTGCTGGTTAGTTCTGATCACAGGGCGTGCTCGCCATTGATCTCCGTCTCGGCTCGGGCGCAACTTGTGGTATTATAAATCATCACTCGTACTTTGGCGACTCGTTACTATGGAGTTACCCTCCCTCCCCCCCTTGCTGATGAGACCTCGTTCATGGGTCCCTGTGGAGTTTCATGCTTTCTTCTTTCTTTTCTCTTCTTCTTCTTCTTTTCTTCCTGGGCGTGCAAGTACATCCATATCTACTTTTTCTTCTTCTACTTTTCTTTTCATTACGGCCCCCAGTGTTCGCTATCGCTTGCTATTCGACGACTACATGTATTAGAATCGCTACTCCTAGCTATCAACGCACACGGGTTGACAGGAGACTGATAACGTGCATGCACGGAGTACGCGCATGCTGCACAGAGAGAATCCCGAGAACCGTATCCACCAAAATATCAGCCACCCAGGCAACCTACCTGTATTCGCTAGATACGACTATGTATCGATACCAATACCCCGTACTCCGTACAGTGAATAACGGTGATATTAGTCACAGAAACGCATGTATTAATACCCTTCCCTTCTCTTTTCTTTCTTTCTTTTTCTGTCCCTTTTTTTTTTCTTTTTTCTTCTTCTTTCTTTTTTTTTCTTCTCTTTTTTTTCTTGGCATGATTGGCACCGTGCGTGCGCCTTGTTCTGGCAGGCAGGACACAGGAGAGCGTCCCAGCAGCGGGGAGGTGAGGGGGAGGGGACGAGGGGGAGGGAAGGCCTTGATCGTGTCCGTAGAGAGTTATTACGATAGAGGTACGGATACAGCAGGCACGCTGTTTTCCATAACCAGGGGAGCAATGCCTCCTCTCACTCTCTACTAGCTCCTCTAACGTACTCGCACCCGTACAGAGCCTAGAGAGGGGCACGCCCGACCGAGTTGGTCGTTAAGGTCATGGGGAACCGGGAGAGCGTTCCCGAGCTTTCAATGCTGGCCCGTTGCAGAGTTAATAATGCTATTTCTCCGTAAAAAGATGAAGGTATCTTCCGTGAGGCGCATGCCCGTGAGGCGCATGCCCGTGAGGCGCATGCCCATGAGTTGACCTGTACTCCGCACTCGTAGCATGGTTGCGCACACACACGAGCCCAGTCGTAAATAAGGGTGTCTTAGCCATGTCGTAGTCGTCGTGCATCGGTTTACCTGTACAAGCGTTCACTATTATTATCGCATGTACATGTACAGGCTATATGGACGGGGACATCATGATGCTCGATTGACTCTAATGTTGGTGCCGCCACGCTGGATATGACATGTGAGGGCCTGAACTGGAAGGCAGGCGTGATGGACCGTGGTTGACACTAATCTGTGCTCATACTCGGTACAGGTTACTCGTCCTCGTAACGCTTCGTTGTGAGTACGGAGTAGTATTTGTATACGAGCATGTACCGAGTAATAATAGCCAACAACCCATGCTACCGTTCCAAAGTGTTGGGAGTTCAGATTCCAGGGCTGCCAGGGCTGTCAGGGCACGTGTGTTCTTGCTAGGTGGTGCTCCGAGGTTCCATGTCGTTTTCGCGCATACTCGGTGCGCGATGTACATGTATGTTGACTACAAGCAGGCACTGGATATCAGTTGTTGGCATGTATGACTCGATACCCGTACAGCAGTATGGATGATGTCGGCATCCTCCCGTCTCTGCTCTACATGCTGAACGTACACAGTAATCACACCCGACAGTTTAATGCTGCGCTCTCCAAACCTGCTGATGCGAGCAACCTGCGAACAACCACTGCGAGTAATAGATAAGTGCTTCTAGCTCTAGTACTCGTACCGAAAAAACCAGGTGAATGAATGTTTCCTGCTTTCGACCCATGAGTAAGAGGCAAATTGGCCAATTTAGGGGACAGATGTATCCCTGTCACCGTGGTGAAATTTGCCAGCACTGCCGGTTGTGCCCCGGTGGAGATATTTCATGGGTTTGCCAGGGCCCGCTTTGATGGAGAGAGAGCTCTAGATGTACCAGGTACTATGAGAAGCCACTCTTCTCGTATGAATCGGGGAAGTATAATGCACCTCGACAACAACAACCCCTCCCCCCCCTTCTCCCCTACCCCTGGACCTACCTAATGCCTCGGGCGCTCCCTTGAACTTGGCTTCCCAGAGAGGACAAGACTAAAACAGAGAAGAGCGCGTGCGAGAGTTTTTGTCACACCCCGGCCCCGGGGGAGAGGGGAGGGGGGAGGGGAGGGGGGAGGCTGCTTTTGTTCATTTCCTGTATCCACGCCATCATTACGGCCACTGCTGTCCATATACGAGTACCTGTACGTTACGTGAGGGTGGTGACCGCTCCATACATGTACTGGTGAAATCGTCCGAGGAGGGTAGGAGGACCCGTGTATTCCTTGCTAAAATCGTGTCCGACGCGTCGGTCCAACCTGTCACGGGTATCACGATGCTGCTACTCGTACATATAGTGGTAATACTCACAGGGGGGCCCTTCTGGATTGATGATTCTCCATGTATTGATATTAATACCTACCTGTACCAGTTATACCAGTACCCGTACTCCATACAGCGGTGGAGAAGGGCATTGAAAAAAAAATAAAAAATCTGGACCGAGTATCTGCCCCCATTTATCTCTTCATTCACTTGGCTGACGGTTAATCGGGCTGGTAATCATCGTCATCATCATGGGCAATCTGTTTGGGTGTTCATTACGGGTGTACGGATCCATGATATTCTGAGAGTGAGTGCGTGCGTGCCGAGTGAAAATACGACGTGTTCTCGATGGGTATCACATGCTCAATAATATTACTACTACTCGTACAAGTAGGAAAACGTGAGAAGGAGACGAGGAAACAGTAAGAGGGACGTAGAGGATCATGCCAAAGATGGGATCTATCATACGTGACCTCTCTTCTGGCCCCTTGTTGTGATGGATGGGGTGGCGACGACTTGTGATGATTGGAAGCCTTGCATATCCGTATGTTATTGCATATAATACTACGACTCCGCAGTGCTCGTACTACGTACGCTGTTCAGCCAACGAGCCACTCAGGGACTTTTCTTTCTTTTGTGTGTGTGTGCCTAGCAGAAACAGCGCGTCTCAAGCTCAGCACGGGTCGCCCACCAACTTAAAGGGGGRGGGGGGGGGGGGCTGGAGAGGACGAGGTTGGGAACGCGTCGTTTGAGTACCTACCTAGTACCAATAGAGTCAGGGAAAATAGTGCATAATACTCGTAGTAGAGATTATGAAGAGAGGGTAAGAGATACATGATTGTGTTACTCCGTAGACTGTCAATGCTGCACAGGTAGTTGTATCCGACAGACTCCCACGAACCCACTCGTCTGCCCCTGGCCCATTACGTCGTACACGTTGACCCTGGTTCCTCCGTTCTGTCTTCGGGGCCTGCTTGGCTATATGCGTGAAGCCGTGTCGAGACGCGCCTTGACCTAGATAGGGGGTCACGTAATAGGGTCACCTAGTAAGTACCGAATGGTGACACAGCCTGTAATACTCTGCAATACTTGACGTGACTGCACCGTCGTCGTGGTAGTAGCAGTAGCAGTAGCAGTGGTAGCGGTAGTGCATGCAGTGCATTGTCAGTCAAACACTCAGGCGCTCTTCTCTCATTAGAGAATAATGATACGTTGAAGCCATGAGAGATGTACAGGTCAGTGTCGGGTATTATTACTACGAGTCATACAGCATACTATTATATGTAATCTGTACTTGGTACCACTACCAACTACTGCAGAGATATGAAAAAGAAAAAGAAAAAAACCCCCGATTTTGCCCAGCATGACAATATCGTGGGATTCGTACGTCCCCGTCCCATACACCCCCCTCTCTTTCTCT